AGAGTCCCTTCTGGAGTGTCAGAAACCATCCACGGGAGTTTCCTGGGGCGCAGTAGAGGGTCTGTAGAACAGCTTCTGGGCAGAACCCAGGCAGGTCTTGCTTGGACACACAAATTCATCTCCATTCAGCCTCTGAGGGGAGTGGGCCTGGCTTCATCCTCCAAACTTTATATGGAATCAGCTCATCTGGAGGCTTCTCCTGTGTGTCCAGCATGTTTTCCATCATGGGATGACTGTACACATGTAGTGTCATCTGTGGTGTGGAGCAGAGGGGCAAGGCCTCCTGGCCACTTCCCAGAATCCACCTGGCTTTCGGAGTCTGTGTGCCTACTTTTCCTGTTTGGTGTCCTGATGGGTCCTGGGCACAAAGGTATGGGCACTTGTGCTCCTGAAAAAGTCAATTAGGATGGCAGCTGCTCCCAGTCAGGATGTGGGCTTCTACCCTGAAGAGTGGGTTGTAGTCTGGGAGCCCTGAGGGCAGCTTCTTTAGCCTGCACTAGATTGGGAGACAGGGAGGGCAGGAATGAGACTCAGGTGGCTGCTGCTGAGGCTCCCCAGAGGGAGGGTGGGCCAGGTACTGGTTCACATGGGCCACAGGTCAGGAGCCTAGGAAGAAGGCTGCAGAGAGATGAGGCAGGGATGGAGCTTTCCCTCCCGCTCTTGTCCTTGCGTCCTCCCTTATCAATGGGATGTTTTTGTTTTATTTATTTATTTATTTTTAAGTATTTATTTTTTAGTTTTTTGGTGGACACAACATCTTTATTTTTATGTGGTGCTGAGGATCGAACCCAGTGCCCCACGCATGCCAGGCAAGCGCACTACTGCTTGAGCCATATCCCCAGCCCCTATTTTTTATGTGATGCCGAGGATTGAACCCAGAGCCTCACATATGCTAGGCAAATGCTGTACCACTGTGCTACAATCCCAGCCCCTAAATTCCATTCTTTTCGTTTCCTCTCCAATGCAGTGTGAGAGGAGACATGGGTGGGCCTGAAGGAAAAGTGGAGACCCTCACACCACAGGTCCAGCATGAGATTTGTCAGACACAGGGCTGTGCCCTGTGGGTCAGGGGCCAGTGGGGGCTAAGGTCAGGAAAGCATCCACGTTCCTGGAGAGAATCAAAGTCCTACTCACACTGGTCCAGATGAGGAAACTGAGACCTTGGGAATGGCCCTCTTTAGGGTGGCACAGCTGTCCTTGAAAAATCCCAACATGGGGGAACTTAGAGGGGATCCAAGCTGTGCTTTCCAACTTGTCTGCAGTTTGAAATCAAAACTTCTAGAGAATACCCACACAGCAACGTGGGTATCTGAGGGAACAAACTGAGGATCAGCAGTAAACTGACAGACTTGGAGACTCAGAAATTCTGGTTACTGAAACAGACAGTGAGAGAGAATCAGTTATGAGCTTGCACATGTGCTGCCTAGACAGGGGAGGAGGGAGGGAAGCCACAGAAAGGAGACAAAGAGGCAAAATGATAAGATTGCTTTGAAAATAGCAGTAGAAGAGAATATTAGACTGAACTTAGCTGACACAGAAGCCGCACATTGTGACAGAAGTGTTCTGCTTTTCTCAGTTTTTCAGTAGAATACTGTGGCAGGAAGCCATTTTGTGAGGGTCTGCCTTAGTTGGCGGTGCTAGAAAAGCTAAACTCCAGTGTCCACTCAGTCCTGGAAGTGGTAGCAATTTTGGCTCCAGAGAATGATTTTGAATTAGACTGAGAGATCAAGGGGAGCCTAGGACTGCTGAGAGCCAATGCCCATCATAGTGAGAGAGGAATCCGGGCTGGAGTAGAGCTGCTATGGGACCAGAGCTGTGACAGGGTGCACTGAACCCACAGCAGAGCTTTCAGGGCTTCCTTGGTGGAGCTGAAGGGTGGGATGTGAACTGTGTTAAGAGTACTAGGTGTGGACTCTGCCCCATGAACATGCAGTGCCCCCACCAGAGGTTTGGCCTCTGGGCTGTACAAATCCCCAGACCATCATGTTTATGCTTCCAGACGTATCTCCAGCATCTGGGCCTGACACAGAGCCACTAAGTGGACCAGCATACAGTCCTGGAAGTGGGAAGAAGTAAAGATTCCATGCCCCATCCTAACACTGAGCCTGTGTGTTCAATTACCGCCTCCACACCCACAGTCTTTCAGAAGTCATGCTTCTGTAGCTTGAATATTTGCCACATCCTCAATCCTTCACAGATTCTTAATCCAGAAGTCCTGAAAGAAAGGCTCTCTACCTTATGTACCCAGGCAAGGAGAAAAATCATAGTTTTGATATGAGTTGTATGGTTATTATTAGTTTTGATTCCCTCATTATTGTGATTGCATACTTTTATATAAAATCATACTTCAGAAAATTCGCTATTTCTCTTTAGTCCTTTTTTTCTTCTTTCTCATGTTTATACCCTCCTATTTGTCCTTCTTCATCTTGTTTTCTCTTCATTTGTCCCTCCTCCTGCTACTTTATGGGGAGCATAGACAAGAAGGATGAACCCTTAGCCGAAATAAGCAAAAGAAAGAGAAGACCCAAATTAATAAAATTAGAGACCAAAACCCAAAACAAAACAAAAAAGAAGCCATTACAACAAAAGCCAGTGAAATCCAGAGGAATAATGAAATTGAAGACACAAGATAGGCAGAACCAATATTGTTAATATTAGTTAATATTAACATTAGTTAATGTTAATATTTATTAATATTATTTTACTAATGATATTATTTATAATATTATTATTAATGTTAATATTAGTTAATGTTAATATTACCAAAAGCAATCTACAAATGCAGTGCAATTTCTATCAAAGTGCCAAGATATTCTTTTTCTTATTAGAAAAAAGAATCGTAGAATTCATGTGGAAGAACAAAAGACCCTGGATAGTCAAAGCAGTCCTGAGCAAAAAGAGCAATACTGGAGACATCATTATACCTGGACTTCAGATTATACTGAAGAGCCATAGTAATAAAAATAGCAGGGTACTTGCATAAAAACAGACATGCAGACCAATGGATCAGAATAGAAGACACAAACAAACCCACACTGATAACGTTGTCTGATTCTGGAAAAGGTGACAAGAAAAGGCAGCCTCTATAAGAAGTAGTGCTAGGAAAACTGGACATCCAGAGTTAGAAAAATGAAAATATATTCCTACAACTCACCTTGTAAAAAAAAAATCAACTTAAAATGGATCTAAGACCTAGGAATAAGACCAGAAACTTTGCAAGCATTAGAAGGAAAAATAGGGGCAACACTTCAACATAGGTGCAGGCAAAGATTTACTGAATAGGACCCCTATGGCTCAGGAAATAGGTGAAAAAAAATCAATAAATGAGATGGCATCAAATTAAAAAGCTTCTGCACAGCAAAGAATACAATAGAGTAAAGAGACAACCTATGAAATGGGAGGAAATCTTTGCCAGCTACTCTTCTAACAAAGGATTGATAATCAGAATATATCAAAACTAAAAAACTCAATATTCAAAAGTCAATTAACCCAATCATTAAATGGACAAATGAACTGAACAGGCACTTCTCAAAAGAAGTAGTACAAATGGCCAACAATTTTATAAAAAAGATGTTCAATATCTTTAGCAATTAGGGAATTGCAAATCAAAACTACACTGAGATTCCATTTCATTCCAGTCAGAATGACAGTCACCAAGAATACAATTAACAATAAATGCTTGTGAAGATAGGAGGGTAGGGGGAGGATGAGGAACTCATGCACTGTTGGTGCGAATGTAAATTAGTATAGTTACTGTGGAAATCAATATGGAGGTTCCTCAAAAAGCTAAAATTAGAACTATCATAAGATCCAGCTATACTACTTCTTGCTATTTATCCCAAAAGAATTAAAGTCAGCATTCTTTAGGGATGCATGCGTCCCCGTATTTATTGCAACACAAACTTAAAAACAGATTGGTAGACCAATGGAGCATAATACTGCAAGTAATTACAGTAGCCAACTTAAGGACTTAGCCTAGGTGTCCCGTAACGTATGAATGGAAAAAAGAAAACACAATGGAGTTTTAGTCAGCCATAAAGAAAAATGAGATTATGCCATCTGCAGGAAAATGGAGCTGGAGATCACAATTTTGAGTGAAATAAATCAGACTCAGAGAAGAGACTCATGTTTTCTCTCATATGTGGAAGGTAGAGGGAATATCAGGGAATAGAGGGATTTCATGAAAACAGAAAGGAGACCATTAGGGTAGAGGAAGGGGATCAAGAGGTGGAGAGTGGGGAAAGTATTTGAGCATGAAATCGACCAAATAATGTTTTTAATGTATGTTTGAATATACCACAATAAAACCCACAATTCTTTATAGTTAATAATGATTATTACTAAAATTAATATTATTTATTACTGATTTTTACAAAACCCAAACAATTTTTTTGGCGGGTGGGATTTTAAAAAATGCCTTACCTCCATAGAGCGGGGAGTAATAAGGCAAAGGTCAGGAGAAAATACCACTTAATCCCCAAAGCTTTGTCTCTATGTTAGAACAAAGATCTGGCCAGTCTCTGCCTTGGGAAGAGTGACTTGTGAAAGCAATCTGAAGGACTCTTTTTCGACTGAATTGGGGCTGTGGAGGCTGCAAAGAGGGTATGGGTAGGGGCTCAGGTCAGAGATGGTTGTCTTTTTGCAGCCATGATCCCACTGCACACTGAAACTTGGAGAGCCCAGCAGGCCAAGACTCAGTATCTTGACCCAAGGAGCAATGTGCATGGGCTGTGGGCAAGGCTGTGTGTTCAGGAGGCCAGGCCCTGCTCAGCCAGCATTCTTGGAGCCAGTTACTTGCTCAAAGTCCAGTTCTGGTGTGGGACCCACTGAGGCTCTGGGAACTGGGCAGTGTCTGCAGACCTGGATGCTTATAGGCTAAGCCTGAGGAGGGTCTGTAGCTCCTCATGAAGGACAGCTCTTCAACCCTTCCTTAACCAGGATGGTCTGAGGAAGAACTGGGAGTCCCGTGTTGTCTGATGTAAACCTTCTTTCCTGTCTAGGAGCGGCTGCTTATGAGCCTCCTTCCCCGGAATGTTGCCATGGAGATGAAGGAAGACTTCTTGAAGCCCCCTGAGAGGATTTTCCATAAGATTTACATCCAGAGGCATGACAATGTGAGGTAGGGCTGGGCCTGTGGTGTAGAGGTGAAGAGGGAGATGGGCAGGGGTGAGGAAAGGCTGGGGGCAGTGGTGGGGTGACGGAGGAGGAGAGGAGATGAGGGAAGCAGGGGAGAGATGGTGGAGGGAAGGAGAGGAGGGGTAAGGAGGGAGGTTGGAAAATCATAATAGTTAGGGGAGGAGTGGGGAGGTGTGGGCAGGAAGCCTAGGTAGGCATCTGTCCTGCAGGGAGTCTGCTCCCCCCATGTGGAAGGGGCTGTGGCTTCTTAGCTGATGCTAGAGTTCTCTCTCCCATTTCTTACTTCACTACCCTTGAGCTTCTTGTGTTGACCAGAGGGTTAGAATTCTGTCCCTAAAATTGAGTCTGAGCAGGGACATTATGGGCTGAGGATTTGCCTATGTCTGAATTATAGCTGAATATTATTTTAGTTGCTGCTTGGGTCTGGGGAGTGCTTATTCCACTTTTCATCTCCTGACCATCCTTGAAGGTAGGGACTGTTATTTCCATTTTCCAGGTGAGGAAGCTGATCTCTCAGGTGAATCAGCTTGCTGCAGACTCCGAAGTTTGTCTGTCTGTTTTTAACATTATGTTGAAAATATTTATCTTTCTACATTGTACAGTCTTTTCAAACATTTTTTTGCTAAAGTGTAGCACACTTAGAATAGTGGAGTGTCACTTGTTTGGGATGGGCACTTTGCATAAGTGCTACTCATATAGGAGATAGTTTTGGGTGGACCCCAAAGCACTTTCCTTTTCAGCTTTTGATAAGCTGGCTCTTCTTGGTTTTGGGTGTCATTGGCCCTTGAAGACACAAAAAAGTTTACTATCTTATGTCAAGCACCATAGGCTGATACTAAATGGAGTTCTTAAACAGAAAATGCAAGAATGCTAAACAGCAACACAATAGGAATTCCCATTACCCAATTATAGCAAAACAGATCTTGTGTTTGTCTCTGCATTTTCCTTTACCGATCAGTTTCATAAAAGACAGAGTAGATGAATGGGTAACAAAAACAAATGGGTAACAAACAAAAATCAAACAACAACAATAACCACACATAAGCCTAATGTTTTAGACAACTTTTCATTGCTGTGACCAAAAATACCTGATAAGAACAGCTTAGAGGAGGAAAAGTTTATTTGGGGCTCATGGTGTCAGAGGTCTCATTGCATAGATAGTTGATTCCATTGATCTGGGCCAAGGTGAGGCACCAAATCATGGTGGAATGGCCCAGTGAAGGAAAGTTTCTGAGCTCATGGTAGGGTCAGGAAGCAGAGAGGGGAAGGTGAGAAGGGACTTTAGGGACTACAGAGGGTTGTGATCCTTTCAGGGCATGCCTTTAGTGATCTACCTCCTGCAGCCATGCCCCACCTGCCCGTAGTTACCACCCAGTCTTTCCATTCATACTGATTTAAAAAATGGGCAAAGGACTTAAAAGGACAATTTTCTCAAATGAAGAATTTCACATGGCCAATAGGTGTATGAAAAAAATGCTCAACATCACTAATCATCAGAGTAATTCAAATTAAAACCACAACGAGAAATCATCTTATACCTATTAGAATGACTGCTTTCAAAGACAACAGATAAATGTTGGTGAGGTTATTGAGAAGAGGAAACTTTTGTACAGTGTTGGTGAGGATATAAATTGGTATAGCGATTATGGACATCAGTGTAAAAATGCCTCAAAAAATTAAAAATAGAACTACTGGGCTGGGGATGTGGCTCAAGTGGTAGCGCGCTCGCCTGGCATGTGTGTGGCCCGGGTTCGATCCTCAGCACCACAAACAAACAAAGATGTTGTGTCCGCCGAAATCTAAAAAATAAATATTAAAATTCTCTCTCTCTCACTCTCTCTTTAAAAAAAAATAGAACTACCACCTAATCGTCTACCACAGGGTGTATATACAAAGGACATGAAATCAGTATATCAAATAGATATCTGCACTCCCATATTCATTGCATTATTCACCTTAAGCAAGATGTGGAAGCAACCTAAGTGCTCTCAAAATATGAACGAATAAAGAAAATATGATATGTATATTCTACGCTGTAGAATACTATTCTGCCTTAAAAAGAAGGAAATCTTGCCAGTTATGCCAATACAGATTGAGCTGGAGGACATTGCAGTAAGTTAAATTAGACACATTTCCATGTGCAACTAAAATGGTAAAACTCATAGAAGCAAAGCGGGGAGGGGGGCTTGCCAGGAGCTGGAGGGAGGGAAAAATGGAATAAAGTTGATGAAAGAATGAAAGTTTTAGCTACATAGGCTGAATATGTTCTGAGATCTGATGTACAACAGGATGATTAAACTTAACAATATATTCTTGAAATTTGCTAAGAGTTCAATCAATTTGCTCCAAGGTTCGATCTTATTAACACGTGTACATACACAGAGGATGGTAACTAGGTGGAGGTGATGGATAAGTTAATAATATATGTGTATATCAAACCATCAAGTTGTACACCACACACACCCAATATTTATGCAGTGATATTTCAGTAAAGGTGTTAAAAAAGAACATGTGGTATGTACATAAAATGGAATACTACTCCTTCATAGAAAAGGAAAGTCTGCATTATGTAACAATATAAATAAGAGTTGAGGGCATTATGCTGAGTGAAATAAGCCAGTCACTAAAAGACAAATAATGCATGATTCTATTTATATGAGGCATTTAAAGCAGTCAAATGTGAAGGTAGGTCACTAAAGAGTGGAATCAGAGTGGCACGGTGTTTTCTGGGGAGTAGGGGAAGGGAAACTGAGGAATTATAAGTTAAGAAGAGCCATAAAGTTTCAGTAAAACTAGATGAATAAGTCCTAGAGATCTGCTATATAATATTGTACCCATAACTAATAATAATTTGATTTCATGTTAGATTCTTACCAGAATAGAATTTTTGTTGTTGTTGTTATTGTTACCAGGGATTGAACCCAGGGGCATTCCACCACTGAGCTACATCCCCAGCCCTGTTTTGTATTTTGTTTAGAGACTGGGTCTCACTGAGTTGCTAAGCACCTTGCCATTGCTGAGGCTGACTTTGAACTCATGATCCTCCTGCCTCATGATGCTCCAAGACACTAGGATCAGCATTTTTTTTTTTTTTAAAAGTCAAGGTTCTCCTGGGGAATACAGCTGGAGTTGAACACAGGGTCTGGACACCTAAGTGCCTTTCCCTCAGCTGGCTTCTTATCTGGGGACAGGGATAAAAAATGCAGATGCAGGGAACCACCACTTTTCTTCTCTATTGAAAGTTATCCATCTGCATCTCCTGAATGGCATCTGAGTTCCCCAGCAGTGGGTAGGATGATGCAGGTTCAACACTCTGAGCAAGGAAGCTGAGCCTCCTGATTGCTGATGGTTCCAGCTCCACCTTCACCCCTCTGGCCACCATTGGAAACCATCACAGATGTGTTTCTCTATCCCAGATATGAACATCTTGCTGTTCTTTTCCCATTCTCATTAGAATCACTCCAGGATCGATGTCAAAATTCAGTGTGCCATACACAGTTCACATGGACTGATGTCATCTGGGCTGGTGTAGCAAGTATATTTCGCAATCCTCTTCTCTGAGAATGCACAAACAACACTGGAAAACGTTGTAAGAACTCTTGAAATTATCCAAAATCTTGCAACAATCCAGGAGTATTTAAGAAAAATAACTAAATTTCAAGAACAGTGAGCTGTGTGGCTTTTTAACTTGCCCTATGCCAACCTTCTGTCTCCTCAGCTCCACAATAGCATTGAAAACCAACAATAGCAATCAGAGTATAAACTAGCACCCTGGAAGCCACTGAGGGGGGTCGGAATGGAATTGATGGCTCTTTCTAAACCCCATTCTCAGAGAATTGTCATTATTTGTCTGAACTTCCCTGGGAAATCCTACTCATGAGCCAACTCTATTGTACCTGATGCATAGCCCAGTGTGGACTGCCTTTGCTCAGCACCTTTGATGAAAAACCAACCAGTGGAAATTGTTTAACATCATAGCTGCCTTAGGTAAACAGTAAGGTAACCCCCCCCAAAAAAAAAATTAAAGGATAATCTGGGGAATGAGATGTACACAGGGTGCTTTGAATAGCTCTGGAAATTTCAGAAGGCCAAATGTACATAGAATTAGTCCATAAGAATCACTAAATACGATCAAACCAAATAGCAACAACTAAAATAACTGAGATGGGAATGGGGTGAGGAAATATTATTTCCAGAGTTGCCACATTGTACTATTCAGCTCACAATAGAAATATATTGGATATGAAATAATAAAATAAATAAAATAAGTGTATATATGGTCACACACAGGGCGAAAAGAGCAGTTAATGGTAACCATCCCTGAGGAAGCCTAGATATTGGAACTTCTTAAACAAAAATTTTAACTCAGCTGTTTTAAATGTGTTTAAGGATCAAAACTGTATCTATATAACTAGAGGAAATGCTAAGAATGATTTTGCACTAAATAGGGAATGTCAATAGGGAGTAGAAATTATTAAAAAAAAAAACAATAGAAGTTCCAAAGTTGAAAAGTACAATAACTGAAATGAAAAATTTCCTGAATGGCCTCCACAATTAGTCTTGAGTAGGCAGAAAAAGAATCAGTGAACTTGAAGATAGGTCCATTGAGATTTTCCAATCAGAAGAACAATGAAAAAAGGATGAAAAATATGAAGAGAAACTCAGAGCTGTGAGACACCCTCAAGAATATCAACACATGCATAGTGAGTCCCACAGGAAAGGAAAAAGAGAAAGGGGCAGGAAGACTATCTAAAGAAATAATGGCCAAAAATGTCCCTAATGTTTTTGGAAAACACTAACACATACAACCAAGAAGCTCAATGCCCTCTAAAAAGAGACACACAGCAAGACACATTATGATCAAATGGAAATAAATTAAAGATGCAGAGACAACCTTTAAAGTAGCAGAAAAGAAATGACTGTTCACCTACAAGTGAGCTTTTATAAGATTAACTACTGAGTTCCCATCAGAAACCAGGGAGGCCAGAGGCAGGGGGATGGGAGTGAGAGGCTGAAATGAAAAGTTAAATTCCAGCAAAACTCACAGGAGCAGTATCTTTTCTTCCTTCCACTTGGAATCCTGTCTTCTCATTGTCTATGCATCGCCCTCCTCCGGTCTCACAAAACTCACCTGATCCATCCTAGATAACAGTACACACAACTCCATGTCTGTCTCCCCAGCTTTAGTTTTCACTATACTTAAACTTGTCACTTTGGCATACTCTATATGTCCCTTCCTTAAATGGAAGGGGATTCCTCCAAGGACAGTCATGTTTGTTTGAATCTTTTGTTTACTACCAAGTTTCAAGCCCCTAAAATAATGCCAGTACATCTAGCCCTCAATATATACTTGTCAAATGAGCAAGTGAATGAATGAGTGAATGAATTATAATACTTAAAAATAATTGTAAATGATTGTAAACAATGAGAGAGCTCTTACTTGATGTAAGGTGGCCTCTTGTCTTATTCCCATTTTACAAATTAAAGGATGGACATAAGGGTTGGATTAGTTGCCTGGGGCCCCTTGCTATAGCTGGTAGAGCTGGACAGTCCTGCTAGAGTAGAGCTCTGAGCCCCTGCTTTGCTTTCCTTTCTTCTTCTATTTTTATTCTTTTTTTTTTTTTGTAGGGCTGGAGGTTGAACCCAGGGCCGTGAGCATGCTAGGCAAATGCTCTACTACTGAGCTACACCCACAGCCCTATTTATTTATTTATTTATTTATTTATTTTGAGAGACAGGGTCTTGCTAAATTGCCCAGTCTGGCTCGAGTTTGTGCTCCTTCCTCAGTCTTCTGAGTACCTGGGATTACAGATGTTCATCAGTTTAGCTGGGCTGGTTCCTCTTTGGTGATACTCTCTTGTCCACAAAAAATGCTTGTTTTCTTTTTCTTTTTCTTTTTTTTTTTTGAGGGGGTGGATACCGGGGATTGAACTCAAGGGCACTCTACCACTTCACCACTGAGCCACATCCCTAGCCCTATTTTGTATTTTAAGGAACTCACTGAGTTGCTTAGCACCTCACCATTGCTGAGGCTGGCTTTGAACTCGCGATCCTCCTGCCTCAGCCTCCTGAGCTGCTGGGATTGCAGGTGTGTGCCACCACACCTGGCTTTGTTTTCTTTTATTGGCATTTATGGCTTCGTTAGAGGGATTCTGGGAGGAGGTTGTATAGGTTAAGGAAGCCCAAAAGTTAGAGAAAGCTAAGAACACCTTATACCTTGAATAGTAGTTATGACCATGTTTTAAGATGTATCTTAAAATGTAATGTTTTCAAGACAAACAGTTTTTCTTCATTTCTCAAATACTCTGCAGAGAGCATGTTTTAATTTTGTAAGAAAACAACTGGGTATGGTGGTATTTGCCTATAATCCCAGCAATTTGGAAGGCTGAGTTGGAAGTTTCATTTTAAAGGTCAGCCCCAGTAAGCCAGTGAGACCCAGTCGCAAAACAAAAACCAAAAAGTAAGTAAGTAAATAAATAAATTAATTAATTAAAGAAGTTAGAAAAGAAGGAAATCCTAGAAAACATCTTTTAAACCTAGTTTTGTCCCATCATCCCAGATGTGGAACACATATGAAAACTTAAATTGAGCAACAAATATACTACTTATAGTAACTTTGAAATAATATTTGAATATTTATTATGTTTGCAGTATTAGACTTGGGACTTAAGTCTTTTCTACAAACTCTAGAAAAATAGTTCTGCTCTGTGGGTGGGCACTGAGTTCTCGAGGCTGACTCAAGTTATGTCATAAATATGTGGAGGACTTGACATAAGAGTATAACATCTCTATAGAACAATTCAGTGATCTGTCCCCTTTAATTGTGAGGCTCTAACACCACACCCAGGGCCTCACAGTCACCTGTGTCCAGCTGGCAGTGGAAGGAGAAAAAGAGGATGTCATGTGGAGGGGCCCACACACTTCTTCAAAGCTTATCACTTCAGTTCAGTGCTTCTGGCCACCACCCGGTCACATGGCCTCCCTGGGAAGAGGCGGTCTAATAGACAGTGGGTAGTGGGAGGGGTTGGCATGGGGGACAGCAAGCTCTGAATGACCCAGCAGCTAAACTCCTTCTGGGACCAAGAGGGGAGTCCTGCAGCTGCTCTGAGCCTCAGTCTTCTCACCTGTAAAATGGGAACAGGGAAGCCTTTATTTCTAGCCTGTGCTGAGGGATAAATGGGGTGATTTATTCTAAAGTGTTTTGTGGGTGTAAATATCTATGCAACTCTGGAGGTCATTATTTCCCAAGTGACTGAGAGGAGATGGCCCTGGCACCCCTTTCTCTTGCAGCATCCTGTTTGCGGACATCGTGGGCTTCACAGGCTTGGCATCCCAGTGCACGGCCCAGGAGCTGGTGAAACTGCTCAATGAACTCTTTGGCAAGTTCGACGAGTTAGCCACGGTAAGCTCAGCATTTTCCTTTGTTCAGGTTAAATCAGAATGGCTTCTGTGCTCAGTGATTCCCTGTATCTAGAATGGGAGCTAGACTGAGTGCCAAGTCATTTACCACCAGGAAGGTGGTAAATTGCTGTGTTTGGAGCCTCACTGTTCATTGATTTCTCTCCTTGGATTTGCACGTATCAGATTAGTGCACACGGCACAAACTCTGCCAGTGTACCTTTCAACCAAGTCTTCTAGAAAGAGGCTGTGTCTTGCAGGCTGTGCCCAGGCACAGAGCTGCCTTTTGCCATTCCTCCTGGCAGACAGAGTCAGTGGCCACAACCCCTCATCCTGAGGCAGCCATGGCCATGTCTCTGCTGACACTGGGCTTGCCATTCTTCTGGGGCTGCAACTGCCAATGAACATGCTGAGTCTGGGCAGTGGTCATCTTTGCCCTCAATAGGCTTCATGCTGGAGTGGAACAGGTCATAACTGGCACCAAGTCCTGCTGAGGTCCAGCCAAGGCTATGCTAACAGCTTTGGCTTGAAATGTAGTGCTTGGATGTTGAGAACAGTAAACCCACAGAGCCTCCATGTGTACCACATAATCCCCTGGGTTACCACTGCCCACCGTGGGAGCCTGGTCAATAGCCTCAGGAGCTCTTTGCATTGGCCAGCAGGCTCTGAGGGGCTACCAGAGTCTCCCCTTCATCCTGGAACATGTTGGTGTTAAAAGCAGAAAGAGAGAGCATGTGGGGCAAGAGTCCAAGTTTCAGAAACTGACTATGCCAGGCCTCAGGAGGGCACATTTGCTGAGTGGGATGCCCTTCATTTTTCTCTACTGCCCAGGGGAATGTTTGGGATAAATTGCACTGCTCACAGCAGTAATCAGATCAGAGCTAAGAATGTGCCCTGCTACTCTGTAGTGGAAATCCTCTTCTAGCTCTTTCATCTGGCAAATCCTCCCTGATACTGGTTCCCAGCCTGTGCAGACAGGGGCGGCTTCTGCAGGAAGACTGACTACAACCCAGGAAGGCTCCTCTCTCAGTGGGAGGAAGGGAGCAGAGGACAGTGGTGGGATGCCCAGATGTGAGGCTTGCTGGGGCATTGGCCATCAGGGCTTCCTCAGACCCCAGAGGACCCTCACCATCTCTGCTCTTTGAGGAGGTGGAAGGAGCGCACAGGATGGAGCCAAGTTCCCCTTCTCTTTTATTGAGCCCCCCTCCAGGTGGGGAAGGGGGTGCTGAAGTCAGTGGATGGGGAGGGAGCAGCCAGCTCCAGGGAAAATCAGTGCATTTCTCAGTGGGGGCAATGGTGAAGGTCTTGGGAGAAAGAGTGGATGTTCCCTCAATGGAGGGGATAGGAGAGGGCCCTGCTGGGGCTGGCAGTGAGGCAGTAGAGTTGAGAGCATCTTTGCATGGTGGAGGCTGAGTGAGGAGCCCCACTGGGCTGGGCAGGGCAGGGCCAGGCGATGATCACATGGGGCTGAGATGCTGAACTTGTTTTACTTGGGTGATTTCGTTTTGGGGTCCAGCTGTGGGTGTGGGAGCAAACCTGGGCATGCAGGTGGACATCTGGAATAGAGAGAGAGAGCTTAAGAGGGCTGGGAAGGAGTGGGCCTGGAGACTTTGGACACTGCTGTCTTTGGGGGGTTCCTGTGGGGAGCAAATGTCCTGAGATCCAATCCTAATGTTGCTGTCTACATTCCTAATGGGCTGGTTAAAGGAGCCCTTTCTCCTTGGGCACCCCTGGGCATGCTGGGCCAGGGTGCTATGGAACTCTATTTGGGAAAGACTGTGTCCTCCTTCCTGAGGAAGAAAGGAAGGTGATGGCTTTCCTTCTGGGAAGGGCACACTTTCTGGCTGAAGTGATGTTTTTGCCTGGCCTGGGGGCTGCCTGTCTATGGTACCCTTGTAGCCCTGTCTGACTATCCACTGTCCTTGTCCCTAACTGTGGCTATAACTATCTTCCCACAAGCTTCACTATCTTCTTAGGTAAGTCCCAGGGCTCTTCCTTCCTATCTGCTGCATAGGATTTCTGGCTGCCATGAAGGAGGTGTGAGCCATGCCTCAGGTGCTCCTCAGTGCAGGGGGTGGAGCTCTAGCCCCTCTGTAGTTTAGTCAAAGAGCACAATTTGTCCAGGTGCTGTGGGGTGGCTGAAGCTTCCAGGAAGAACTGTGACTAGGGCTCTTACAGAGCAGTGAATAGCATCCCCAAGGGCCTGTTTCTTGCTTCACCCTTTACCAGAAAGCTCATCCTTCTGGAAGCCTCTGGATAGAGTGTCCCAATTAGTTCTGCCAGGGCTTTCTTTCCTTTTTTTTTTTTTCTCTCCTGGTCCGAGCTTGTACTGCCAATGGGAGGGGTTGGGTCATTTTTGTATGGTGTTTGAAAAGTCTTTGCCCAAAGGGCTACCACTGTGTGTTGGTTTCTCAAAGCCACGGTGGCAGATTACCACAAACTTGGTGGCTTGAAACAACAGAAATTTGTTTTCTCAGTTTTGGAGGCTGAAAGTCTGAAATCAGTACTGCTTGCCCCAAATCAAGATGTTGGCCTATAATTCCAACAACTTTGGAGGCTGAGGCAGGAGGATGGCAAGTTCAAGGCCAGCCTTATTAACTTAGTGATATCCTGTCTTGAAATAAAATAAAGTGTGGAGGAGATTCTGGGGATGTAGCTCAATGGTAAGCATCCCTAGTTTCAATCTCCAGTACAAATAATATGTAAATACATAAAAAATAGATGTTGGCAACAGCATCCCCCCACCCCAAGGAGAATCTGTCCCTTGCTGCTTACATCTTCTCTTGACTACTTCAGTTCCTTGGCTTGTGCCATTATCACTCCAGTCTCCTTTATCTTCATGTTGTTGCTTCTCCTCCTTCTCCTTCTCCTTCTCTTCCTCCTCCTCCTCTTCTTCCCTTCTCTTCTTCTTTCTTTTTTTTTTTAGAAAAAGAGAGAGAGAGAGAGAATTTTTTAATATTTATTTTTTAGTTTTCGGTGGACACAACATCTTTATTTTATTTCTATATGGTTCTGAGGATCGAACCCAGCGCCCCGCGCATGCCAGGTGAGCGCCCTACCACTTGAGCCACATCCTCAGCCCCGCCTTCTCTTCTCTTCTCTCTTTTTCTTTGAAATAAATCTCCTCCTGCCTTCCTCTTATCAGACATGTACCCAGGGCCCATCTGCATGATCTAGGATGGTCTCTCCATCTCAGGATTCTTAATTTAATCACACCTGCAAAGATTCCTCTTTTTATTTGTCATATAAAGTGACATTCACACATTCCAGGCATTTGATCATGGATAGCTTTTGGGAGACCATTTTTCAGCCTCCCACACTCTTGCAGGCAGTCATCCAGTGACTCACTTTTAGTCTTCCCATTGAAAACAAGGGACTGGTTATGACTGTTTCAAGGTGTTAGTGTAGTGAGAAGTCAAATAGTGGAAAGCAAAATAATAGAAAGCATGAAACACCTAGCATAGTGCTTAGGGCAGAGTTAACCCTCTACGAACAACAGTTACTGTTGTTTCCAGAAGAGCTATACTCAGTGAGTCAGTGATGTTAAAACTGCACAGGTATTTGAAAACTCAGTGTGGAAAAAAATTAGCAGCTTCTAACATAAAGCTCATTTTCCTTTAATCCCATTAAGTTCTTAATTCATAACCAGATAACACTGCTGTTAGAAAATGCCCGTTTGTCGGCTGGGTCTGTTTTAGAGAATTGTCAAATAACTTTTTTTCCTACTACCATTGTAATTAAATCAGATTCTGCCTTAATTTTGCAAATATTCACACACTCAGCTATGTGGGAAGAATTCTGCCGTTCACCAGGACTTGCATTTCCAAGCAGGACACAGACTTTATTGATCAGCTTCATAATCAGAAGAGGAAAACAAGGGTTCCTTATACCCTTGCTTCGTAGAGCAACCACTGTATTACCAATAAAGGGAACACTTTAATTTAGTGTTTTCCATTTTATGAGGTCTGCATCCAAACTTGAGAACAAACATCAATAACAAAAAGTCCAAGCAATAGATATAGTAGTTATATTCATGGTCAATTAAATGAAAACATGACATAGTACTCATAAAATTTTTTGCGTGTGAATTTTTCACAGCTTTACAAACACATACTGTCTTTAGAAAATTGCATATGGCAAAGATATGCAAATAATTGCAGTCATTTGATTCATTTGCCAGCTATCTAAACCAAGCCTGTGTACCCCTGGCTCTTATAGTAGGGTTGTTAAATAAATAAATATAATAATTTTTTTCCTAATTAATATCATAAAAATTTTCTCCTGTGTTTTCTTTCAGAGTTTTATAATTTTAGATTTTACATTTAAATTAATAATATATTTTTATTGAATTTTTGTGTATGATATGAGGTATGGATCAAAGGGGTTTTTTTTGCATATGGATATCTAATTATTTCTGCAACATTTGTTGAAAAGACTATCATTTCTGCACTAAATTGTATTTCCAAAACTTTAGAAAAACCACTTTTCTACATATAGGTGGGCCTATTTTGGGTTTTCTTTTCCATTTCATCGATCTGTGTCTATTTTGACACCAAAGTTGTACACTTTGGCCCTGTGGCTTTATTACAAGTCTCAAGAGAGGTATTGTGAACCCTTCAAGTTTGTTATTCTTTTTCGAAATGATTTTTGGCTATTTTAGGTTCTTTCCTTTTTTATCTGAATTTTATAATCAACTTGTTAGTTTCTAAAACAGAGGCTGCCAAAATTTTGTTTGGGATTGTGTTGAATCTATATTATGAATCTAGGGAGACCTGGAATTCCATAAATACAAAAGCTTGTGATTCATGAACATAGTATATGTTTCCATTTTTTAGATCTTGTTTAATTTCTTTCAGAAATGTATAGTTTTCAGTATACTGGTGTTTCATATATTTTACCAAATTTGTCCCTAAATAGTTTCTACTTTTTGGTATTTTTTAGATGCTTTTGATTTTTAACTTTTAATTTCTAATTTTTGTTACTAGAATAGTGTTAGTCAGTTTT